TGACTTCTGCATGCAGACTGGCATACAGAAACAGATGGATGCGTTCAGAGGTAACTTTATTATAGCACATTATGTGCACATTTAACTGGATACATTGGCATCCAAAGCCACAATGTTAAAAACAAACTGCTTGTGGTTTTAAAAAAAAAAAAAAAAAAAAAAAAAAAGATTCCTAACCACTACCAGTGTTAGTCAATATAGAAATGGAAATACACATTTTAAACTCTCCAACATATACTATTGTGGCGTATGCTGTAGTCAACATGTATACACACAAGTCCCAGTTCTAAGGCAAGCACCGTCTCATTTAAGAATAGATGATTTATTCAATTTAACCTAAAAACTTTTATTTTTTTAAAAGAGAGATGGCATAGCAAGCAATTGAACTAGGCAGACTGTAGCATTCACTATAATATTGGCCTTAAAGCATTATTAACTCTTGCTTTAAGTTTCATAATCCTATTTCTTCATTGGACTTAAAGAATCATAGTTTAAAAACATTAGTTCTGATTTAATGTTCAGAAGTTGAACTTATTGTAGTTATATTCTTGTGACTGTATCTTTTTACCTATATCTTTATAAATTAAGATGGTTTCAATCGAGTCTTCCCAATGGAAAAACTGAGTTCCTTCAGCCATGAGGAAGTTCAGATGATTCTTTGTGGAAATCAGTCACCATCTTGGGCAGCTGAGGATATCATTAACTATACGGAACCTAAACTTGGCTATACACGAGATAGGTAACTATTTGTCTAACTTTGCTTTTCACATTGCTTAAGAAATGTGTAACAACAACATCTGAATAAAGATTGTAAAATGCGGGGACTGCTGATCAGCGTGAAGACTATGTGGAACAAGTGTCACAGTGATGTACTCTTTGTATTTCTCCAATAGATCATTTTAATTCTGGAGAAAGAGGAGTTTGTTGTGGTAAAAAAGCAGAAAAGTGAGAGTAAAACAATTAAGAGTAGACTGACAGAATCGTGATTCCTTCCCTGTAACCTTTAGAGATTACATAAATTTGATGTAGGCTCATTCTGAGCTTTGCTAGAATATACTGGCTGATGCACTGCTGGTATATTGACAGCGTGAAGTTCATTAATTCTCCTTACTGATATAAAGGATGTGTGACTATCTCTTTGTAGGGAACCAGCATTTAAAACAGTGTCTGTAGAGACATTGGGGGAGAAATTTTAAGCTGAAGCTTACATTTTAATTGAGTTACCAATAATGTGAGAACACAGCAAGTGAGCAAGTTTGTACACTAAAGTTTGAATTCTCAGTTACACAAGTGCCCGTTTGCACAACTCCAGTGATGTGAAATGACTTTAAAGGACACTTTGTGTAACTGAGACAAGGTCCAATGTGTGTGGATTCTGTTAAGAGCAGGCTTGGCACTCTACTTGACTACCACTTTACACATAAGGAATAAATGTAGTCCCATTAATTCCTTCTTCAAGAAGTGATATGTCCCCCATACGTTTTGCCATATAACATTTGGCAAATAAATGAAAAAATAGATTTTCTTTCTTATAAATGTAGGCTGCTTTAAGAAACTAGCATGAATATTTTAAACAGTTGCCATTTAAGTTTGTCTAAAGTCATTGGTTTTAATGTCTCATCTTACAAAACTCGCTTCCGTTCATCACATTTTGTTGATCATATATTTTTATTTTTTTTTAGTCCTGGATTCCTTCGATTTGTGAGAGTTTTGTGCGGTATGTCTTCAGATGAAAGAAAAGCATTTCTCCAGTTCACTACTGGCTGTTCAACACTCCCACCAGGAGGACTGGCTAACCTACACCCCCGGCTCACTGTTGTACGCAAGGTATAGGCTCTTCAGGGTACTTCTCAACTTAAGCTTTTTTCTCCTCACAAAAGAAGGCTGCCACTTAAATAAAACTCATTCTTAGGGTACGTCTAGACTACAAGCTTTTGTCGACAGAAGTTTTGTCGACAGATACTGTCGACAAAGCTTCTGTCGACAGAGTGTCTAGACTACATTCAGTTCTGTCGACAAAGCAAGCTGCTTTGTCGACAAAACCCTGTAGTCTAGACACAACCCTAGATACAATAACACCTTCTGTCGACAGAACTCTGTCGACAAAAGGCGTTACGTCTCGTAAAATGAGGTTTACCAACTTCGACAAAACTGCTGAGTTCTGTCGACGTTATGGCGACAGAACTCAGCGGTAGTGTAGACGCAGGTTTAGTTTTGTCGACAAAAGTCCACATTTGTCGACAAAACTCTGTAGTCTAGACACACCCTAAATCTTATACTTCCTCATCAACATTCACTATTTTGTTAGCCTTTCAGTACTAAATTCTACTTCAGCTCTTGCGTGATTTTGTACACTCACAAGTATTCTCATAAAAAGGAACTAAGGAAATATGTACACAAACTAGGTACACTTTGTCTGTTTGATTACTCTCATCCTTTGGTATTTCAGTATTTTATATATGAGGTAGAGCTGAATGGGAAACAGTTTTCCCGTCTTGTGAAAATTTTCAGAGGTTTCAAAAAATAGCCCAGTGGGTGAGGAAATCACATAAGTTGGATGCTTAGGTTCAAGTCCTTGCTCTTGCCTGATTTAGAGTAGGGACGTGGCTTTCCCACATCCCAGATGTATACTCTAAACTCTAGTCTGTTTGCTATACTGATGTGGGTTTCTTTCTCTTTGTATTTGACAACAAGTTCCTGGACTTGGGAAACATTTCCAAAGAGAGTTACACAAAAAATTACAGTTGTGGCAATTTGAACTTTTCCACATCAACAACAAAACTGTGAAAAAATTCTCAATCAACTCCACCATGAAGTAGATTGTAAATTTGACAAAGGAGAAAGGACCTATTTATTTTTATGTACATAAGTAATATTCATCCTTCCTTATTCTCAGGTTGACGCTACAGATGCAAGTTATCCATCTGTGAATACCTGTGTGCATTACCTTAAGTTGCCTGAGTATTCCTCTGAGGAGATAATGAGGGAGCGTCTTCTAGCTGCTACTATGGAAAAAGGCTTTCATCTCAATTGAACTGCTCTGTGCAACATGGACATGAGAAACTGTTTTTTATATTAGTGAAGCCTCTTGTGTTTGTGTGCAGAAAATATGATCTCCACGCTGTGCTCTGATGAGACTTACCTTTTTTCCACCTGTGAGGCTTTAGGAACACATGGAAAAAGTTTGTTAGCTGCTAATGACAAAACAAATCCCTGTAACTACACAGCCAGCAAGTAAATGACACAGAACACTGTGTGATGCTTCAAGGGCTTGCACGACTGGAAATTAAGGTGGTTCGCTTTGACTGTTCCAAAGAGCAGATCTTAAGATTTTCAGTGTTCACTGATATAAATTTCTAAGTGTATTTGTGTAAAGTTTGTCATTTAATACCTTGTACACTACAGTTGCCATCACCGATCCCTGTTTTGCTGGCTTTAAACTAACTGGTCAAAAACTTGCTTCCTTAAATCTTAGAATTAATGGGCATCACAAGCTTTTTCATTCTTTTTTTAATGGTGCCTGCACTATTGGAGTATTCTAGTGGTTTTTGTTTTCATTTGAGGTTTTTTGTTTTTGTTCTTGCATATAATCATGCACAATCTTTTTTTTCTCTCTCTCTTTCAACTGGGAATATATTTTAATTTCTTAAATGCCCTGCCTAAAGATGAAATCCTTAAGTGTGGCTTATGCAGCTCAACAATAAAGCTATTAAAAATAAAAAACACTGGTTCCTGGTGCAAGGCACACTTAAAGCAAGTTTTACTATTGGTTGTACTTTCCTTGTATATTATAAACATTTATTTAACTTGTTGCAGTTTGAAATTTAAAAAAATTTCCAATGTGTATGCTCAATAATCATTAAAATGTTTGCAGCGTACAAAAGTGTCTGTGACTATTTCTCTCCTCAAATGTGAATACATAAACTAGACATCTTTATTTTAATTTGATCAACTCTAAGTATCCTGAAAAAATTGGTTTGTTTTTCTAAGTATAAAAAAATAGGAATTGGGGGATAAGAGCAAAGTGGTCTGTTCATTAGCTTGTCTGTTGAATAAGCAATGGTATTCAGATATGCAGGGTAACTTTCTGAGAACCGGCTTGGCACATATCAGTAGTGCTGCACAGTGTCTTTGGTATTTTTCAGATATGATCTGAATGATACTAAGTTTGCATATGGCATCAGAGTGAGTGACTACCCCACAAGAGGCAATTGATTAAACTTTTTTGAGGGTGCAATCGTTGTTGTGATTGAACAATGTATTGTAATTTTGTTGTGATAGTCAGTAACTGCTTACAAAGGTGAAGTAAATGCTTTTACCGGAAGTATCCTGAAACAATGAAAAGCTTACAAGAAAAATGCATGTTTCTCAGTCTTCTCCATGTACAGTAAAACTCCGATGGTTCGGCATCTGATGGTCCGGCACTCCTGATGGTCTGGCACCATCAGGAACCCGGAAGTACTCTGGGCAGCTGGAGTGCTGCTGGGTAGGTCCTGTAGTGCTGCCCCTCGGGGCTGCGGGACCAACCCGGCGGCACCCCAGCTGTCCCCAATTCAGCCCCTGCTGAAACTGACCAGAGGCTGACTCCTGGAAGCCCAAGGTAGAGCTGCTGTGCCCCGGCTTCCTGGAGATGGTCTGGCACCATCAGGAACCCGGAAGTACTCTGGGCAGCTGGAGTGCTGCTGGGTAGGTCCTGTAGTGCTGCCCCTCGGGGCTGCGGGACCAACCCGGCGGCACCCCAGCTGTCCCCAATTCAGCCCCTGCTGAAACTGACCAGAGGCTGACTCCTGGAAGCCCAAGGTAGAGCTGCTGTGCCCCGGCTTCCTGGAATCAGCCGCTGGTTAGTT